AGCTATTAGACCACGACTGGGATTATATCCGTGGATACAGCTGGGGTAGTGCCTCTTTGGCGGTGTTGTATCGCCAACTTTGCAGAGCCAGCAGGACGGTGATGATGGTCACTCCGTCCATTCGCGGTTCGACCCCAGCCAGAGTAGCGGTGGAGGTGATCCTACGTCGCATACAGAGGCAAAGGACTACTTCGTCCACAGTTCTGCACCCATCAGATCCCAGGATGACGCATCGTCCAGCCAGCTCACTCCCCCCACCGCCTTAGAACCCATTCACCATTATAGTCGGCGTCGTCCAAGACGAAGGGACGACAGTCAGGCTAGGGAAGGGTTAGACCACATTGATGAGTAGTGATAGTATTGTATCATTTTTTTGTTCTACATTAACATTTCCTAGAATGCTGTATATAACGATTACATTATTAATATGCTGGTTGAATGAATCTGTTTGTGGTTTGAAGTTTTGTTTGCTTATTTATCCAAATCGGACTTATGTCAATCAAAATAGATCATTTTGGGCTAATGTATATTAAACAACAGACATTTGGAATCCATAGTCAAAAATGGGGTAGAAAGGATGGCCCATGGTGGTTAATGTGGTTGTTCATGGTGGTTTTAGTGTTGTTGGTTGTGGTGGGTGGTTATTGACAGTTGTTGAATGGTTGGGGCCGGTGGTGGAGGTGGTTGAAGTGTTGTTGGAGGTAGTTGGACTGTTTTGAAGTCCAAAAAGGATGGTCAAAAGTGGCGGAAGATGGTGGTCGACGGTGGGGGTTGGTGGTGTGGTTGGTGGTGGACTGTGGTGGCTAAGTCAAGGCAAGGGGTGGTGGGTGGGGGCAGAAGAAAGTGGCAAAAGGCTGAATCTGTTGGTGTATTGCAGACAAGCAGAGAAATGCTGTCCTAGACAGCGTTTTATGTTGAACATAAGACGCTGTCTGAGACAGCGTTTTAGGTACAACAAACTTTGTACATAAAATGTTGTCCCCAATAGCGTTTTATGTCTTTTATATTTTTAAAATATTTACAATTTCTAAAATAACAAAGAAACTTTAAAAAAAAAAAAAAGTAAAAAGTCAACACTTAAAAACGCTGTCTGGGACAACGTTTTTAAGTTGAATTTAAAAAAAAAAAAAAATACTAGGCATAAAACGCTGACCGAGACAGCATTTTAGCCTGAAAATTTAGTTTGGTAAATACTTTTACCATGCAACCATTTTGGTGAATATTTCCCAAAATTGGCTTAGTTTGGAAAAATGTCCCTTTAATCCAGTTGTATATTCCTTGTGGGTCTTATGTCATTGGGCCCGTGTGAAGACTTGTACAATTATGGAGTCATTAAGGGGCTGGCTTTAGAAGAGGTAGCAGCTAGAAGCAGTTACACATAACGTCTTGCTATCCCAACTTACATATCCAACGTTTGGATTGTCGTTCTATATTCTAAAAATTATTATTTTATACTACCTCCGTTTTTTAACTAATTGCAACTTTAAAGGGTTGTATGAAAATATAAGCAAAATTTATTTGTCAGTGTTAATGGAGTAAGATAGGTAAAGATGTATGTGATGAGAAAAGAGAGAAATAAATAATAATTATATAGGATACTAGGATAGATAACGTTTGTTGCAAATAATACTCCATGTATACCATAAACTTCATGTATACCATAAAATAAAATACGATTTTTTCACCATATACCCTTGAGTTTTTTGTTTATTCACTATATATTCCTGAAAATTTTCAAATTCACCGTATACCCCTGAATTGTTACAAAAATTCACCATATACCCCTAATGACAACAAGATGAGTGGAACTTGGTTAATTATGCATCGAAACCACCTTAGATTTCTCCCCCTATCTCTGAAACCACTCCTCTCCTTTCTCCAACCCCTGAAACCACTCCAAGTCTCCATAACCATATCCGTATGATAGATTTTGAGGATAAGTAAAAGGGATGTGGGTGGTTTCGGGGGTAGGGGAGGAATGTATTTATGGTGGTTTCGGGTCATAATTAACATTAATGACTAACGAAGTAACAATCATTAGTCATCAAGGGTATATAGTGTCTTTTTGAAAACTCGGGGGTATATGATGAATTTAAAAAAGTTCAGGGGTATATGGTGAATAAACAAAAAATGTAGGGATATATGGTGAAAAAACCGAATAAAATATCTATTTTTTTTTTTACCAATGTTGCAAATAATATGAAAAATAGAGATAATATTAACCATAAACTTCATGTACGTAGTAGTATATCAGTTATGAGTGATGTTTGTGGAGATATATTATATATTGTCATATTTGTGAAAATTCCAATGTTTAAAATTTGTCTTAAATCTTGTCATTTTTTTTGCAATACAAAAAATATAGATCCAAAATTTTTTAAGACCAATTCTTTTTAACTAATGGAAGGGCCTATATATCTAAAGTCCGCATTTGGAAACGAAACTTGGGGTTTGTTTGTGATTGTTTTTTCTTGTAAAATAAAAAATTGGAAATTAGAAAAAAATTTAGTTATTAGTTTTCAAAATTATTATTTTGACTAATTTATAAATAGAAATTTACAGCGATATTGAATGGATCCTGAGATTTTAGATTTGTTTAGGTTTTTTATCATCAACGTATAAACAAATAAGACTGTGATTAGACCAAGAAAAGGCTGAAAAGTACTCATAAGAAATTGTTGCATGGCTGATGTTGAAAAAAAAAAAAAAGAAAAGAAATTGTTGCATGAGGGTAATATTGCCAAATTTGCCTCAAGTCGTTGTTAATGAAGCCCCTATCTAGGCACTCCTAAACTATATGTGTACCTTTTGTTTTTTCCATGAGAAGGATGTTGTATTTGGAGGGATATCTTGTATTTGTATAATTTGAGTGAATCGTTGTAACTCAAAACATTGATGTAATGTGGGTGCAATACCTCCAATGATACACCAATTATTTGGACAATTTTTTTTTGCATCTTGGTGCATAGCTTAGGGAGGGTAAAATAGTCATTTAATATTTATAAAGGTAATTTTTATAGTTACAGTGGTATTTTTGTGTACTATTATGTAAGTATATTGTACCATTAAAATATAGGTTATCTTAGTAGTGTTATTATATCACAGTAGTATAATATTTGATGTACAATTTGCATACTTATTTGTACCATTTGAAAACTATATACACCATTACAACATTTAATGGTACTTTATACTCATATTAATATTTACAACTTAGACATCTTATTTGTTTTGAAACAAATAGGTCCTATGTGCCAGGTATGCCAAGAGTTTTCCCAAAAATTTTAGTATAAGATTTTTTTTTTTTTTTTGTCAAAGAAAATTTGACATTTGCTCAATAAACATAATTAAAGGATTACAAACTATGTAAACGATTCGATTAATTACTCTACTAGCTAGTTTGTTACGTATAGAGAACCAAATAAGCAAAAGTACATCTTCAATTCTTTGTTTGATAGTAACAGTTTGAAATCTATTAACTATTACTAAAACAAAATGTTGCTGACGTTATTACTGTCCACATGTCACTCTTATAATAATTTTTTTCCTGCCTAAATGCAAGGATGATTTCATCTTTTTTAAGCTATTATATTTAACAATTTTAAAATTTGAATATAGAAGCTTCTACATTACAACTACAACCTATAAATTTATCCTACAAAAATAAAACAATTGTAAATAATATACTAATAAATGGACTCCTATATTGAAATATGTATTAGGCGACGTTAAACTAATATTATATCATAATTATGATGAAAATCTAAAATTTTTAAAATTACAAATATTTTTGTACAAGGTGCATAATTCTTATTTATATTTATCCATTTTTTCGAAATATACAAATTATAAAAATAGATTTTATATAAACTGTGTATCGCACGGAAACTAACCTAGTTTCAGTTATATATTTGCCTTTGAACATGCATACTAAAATACCATAATCTACCTTTAAGTCTCAGTTTCTGTTGAACTTGGAGAATAAACGGGAAGTCTAACATTTAAAATTTGTAAGCTAGTTACTGGGTAAACAAGATTAAGAACGTTAAAAACCACATTATTAAGCTTTTGTTAATGCATGGTCATAAACCAATTGACCAAATGAATGTCGGATCTTAGACCCCCCAACATTTGATTTACAATGCAAAGCCGTTTTCAAATTCCAAACGCTTAATAAGGTCCACCATAAAATGACCACTTTCAAAGAGGAAGCATAATTTGGACAGTGATTCATTTCAAAATTATCCTTTGCCAGACTGTCAATGCCATTTCCCTACAAGATACAACTTAGCTTTTCAAAGTGAACAAGATTTTATTCTATATGTTTCTCCATATTAATTGAAAATAAAATATATCTTTTGGCTCCTTAATATATACACCCACCGTTTAATAATATTATCTCATTAATTAAAATTGGCTTTTGTTTTTCTTGCAAAACATAAATTAAAATCGTGTTACCATAAAATGACTTAACTTTCTTATGGAGTTGGGCCTTGTATAAGGTAAATATAGTAATAATATTTATATACGGAGTACGTCATATTACACAAATACTTTTAGGTACATATCCTTTGTTACAACCCCTAAACGGGAAAAACTATGTGCAAATTGGATCATAAATATTCAAAACACTAAGTGGACAAGTTCTTAATAGAATTACTCGTCAAATAATGAACGAATCCCAAGAGTGTTTTATTTATAGTGTATATGAAATATTTATTATTTATAACTTTTGAAATAAATTACACCAATTTTCAAATAATGCAGGGATTGTTTTTTTCACAAATTTCATATAGTATAAAGTTGATGTAATTACAGGATCAAATTTCGTACAAAGTGTGTTCGTTTAAAGAATGCAGCTTTTATGAAATTTGCTTGTTTAAAAACTAACGCTTTTATAATATATTAGTATAGATCCATATAACACGTGTTTCAGTCCTCTTTAGTTGCTTATCTTCACATATATATATAAAAACCTCATTCGTTCCTTGCCTATGAGGCCTACTATTAATTACTACACACATTACCACTAAGAGAGAAAGCTAGCTAGAGAGAAACCATGAATCTACAAATTCTCTTATTGTTGCTCCTCATCTTTTTCTCTCTAGTTGAGTTGAATTCATCTGCCACAAAATCCAATAATCCTCCTAATGTGAAAGACTTCCTACAACATAAAGGTCCAAAATTTTCCCTTCCACTCTAGAGAAATTTTATTTATAGTAGATGGTTTAAACTTTGCTTATTACATCAAATTAATGCTTCTTAGTAGGTTAATTTTACTTTATTTTGAATTATTTTAGTTTGTATTATGCTTACAATATATCATAGTTAAACTTTCATATAAAAATGCAGGTGAACATAACAGCTTACAAAATGAAGAGAAAGTAAATAACAAGGTTAGTAATGATAAAAATGAAGCATATAAGTATCATTACTATATGAAGAAAGGCGCGGTAGGAGGACATGGTGGTGGTGGTGGTTCGGGTGTTGGGAGGGGTGTTGGTGGTGGCGGTTCAAATGCAATTCATCATCCCCCAGGTTCTAAGAAATCGAATGGCGCTTCCTTAGAAGTCCATCTTCTCACTTCCATCATTCTTACCATTTCTTCTATGTTGTACATTGCTTGTGGTCTACTCCTTTCTTAATTTAGTTGGTTATACATGTCTTAAGGGATATGAATTAGGCCACGATATCATATAGGATAATATAATTGGTTTAATATTTTTTTATTTTTTTTTTGACGCAAAATTGGTTTAATATTTTTATTAAACAAACAAAAAAAAGAGGGATTGTTTTAAGAATTGGTGATTGGTCATTAACTAGGCCAATTGCATAGCATTTGAGGGTTTTTTTTTTTTTTTTCCCCCTTTGGTTAATTACCAATGATGTGTGAAGGTTGTGGGATTAATTCTTTAATTTGCAAGTTTTTGATTAATGCTTACAATTGTTTTTTGTGTGAGAAATCCAATGCTTAGTTGTACGAATGCAAAGGTAGTTAAGGGTGTATATCTCTACTGACTTGTCTTGAGCGAGATCAATCTTATACAATTTATGGGTTGAGTCGCGCAGTAAGGAAAATACTTTAACAATATAACATATAATTACCCTTAAACAACATACATAAAATAAGCCGGCTTAGCTTCCAAAAAAAGGGGAAAGCAAAAACAATGATAAAGCAATGTAACAGTCTCATGACTCTCTTCTCTAATCACAACATTGGTAGGGTTGGGGGTGTTAGGATGTTTTTTGGTCACTTAAAAGTATTGGTACAACTCAAGTTCTTACAAAGTTTGAGGTACCAGAAGTAGCGGTGCACTGGACCCTTAAGGAAAAGAACTTAGAAGATGAGAGGTATATCTCCAAAACTGTATTATTTGGAAGCTAAAGTGAGCAGGGAATAGGTAGACAAGGCTCGTCAAAACATCAAAATATTATGGTAGTCATATTTCAAACGACTATTATAAAATTTTCAGCTAATACATGGACGAACAATTAATTTTACTTGCATTTCTAGTTTTATGTAATCTTTTGCTATTAAAAAAAAAAAAAAAACTTCTTATGTTCTTTTTTAATCGCAAATTCGCAACGTTTGGTCAAATTCATTAATAGTATACTCGTAGTTTTTTGTGGCAACGATATTAAGTTTGACTAATTTTTTTATTTTTTTTATAAAGTAATTTCTTCGTTCTATTTTAGTTTACATGTTTCTTTTATATATCTTATTTGCTAATGCACAAATTTAACGATTAATATCTCTTATAATGAGTAAGTAAAAATTATAAAAAGTTGATATTAATACTTCAAAAAAAAAAATCGCATAACTTAGTCAGAGTAAAGTTTGTGAATAATGTCAAAGGTCAAAACATGTCAACAAAAAAAACGAAAGAAGTACATTATATGATTTTCAAAATCAAAAAATTGAAAGCGACAATGATAACCGAACAAGCCCAAATGCCCAATATATATGTTTGGTATTAATTTAAGATCGTATGACAAAATTATGTGTCTATCGATGTTATTACAATTACAATTGTAGCTTTTTTTGAACAAAATTACAATTTTAGCCTTTTATTACAACCTTAGGATTATACATCGTTTTCTTATATATAAACGACCCTAAAATAGAGCACCTAGGGTTCAAAAAAGTACATATGAGCCGTAGATGAACTATGTGATGCAAATTATTGAGAGGAGTTTTACTCACCACATGAATGTAAACCTTAATACCTTATTAAAGAAAGAACAATAGGTAAAGTTCCACATTCTTTGGATTAAGAAATTAAAGCAATCTATTCATTTATAAATTTATTTTTATTATGGGAAAGTAACTACAACCTAATAAACCCATTATGATTAGAATAAGAAAAGTGCAAATGAAAGGCGCACATTTTTCATACCCAATTTTGGGTGAAACTTCCATGAGAGATAAGCATCTTTAGCCAACCTTTTGCGTCAGAAAAACTACGTGATGGAAATGTAGAACAGGTAAGATTCTTCAGCAAATATTGCTATAGATTTGGAGAATATAATCATTTTGGATTCTACGCAATCAACAGATGTATTTACTCATTCTTTTTCAAAAAAATGATTTCAGGATTACATCATGAACGTTATATACTAATTGGTGGCTTTTTTTACTAATCAAATGGATTTTTTTTTGAAGAAATCAAATGGATTGTTTTAACTAAATTGTAATTAGGTTCCTCAAAAAAAAAGTGTAGTTATTTATTTATTTTTATTTTTCTTTGGCATATAGTGAACGTACAAATAGAAGAAAATGAAAAGTATAAACAAACAAAAGGAAAGTACGAGTATGCAACTTCTCATCTAGTTCTACAACATGTGATGCAGGTGAGTAGGTGACTCCGTCATCAACAGGTCGTTGGGCAAGGTTATGACTTATGAGCTTGTTGAACCCCTAACATGCTCCACATTGAAGATGATATAATTTTTACAAAATTGGACTTATTTTCACTTATTATTATTAATTTTAAATAAAAAAAAAGACCTATAATCATTTTTTTTAAGCGTAAAAAAATCAATCTTAGTTTGTGAAAGACAAATTAATACTGCTCTATACATAAGTTAAGGCTAAATTAGTAAATTAGTAATATAGTATACTAGATTCGTTTACATGTAACGAGCAACTATATAAATAATACAGAGTAATATATTAAGGAACCCTATTCATCAAACCGATCCAATCCAAAAGTTCAATATCGAAACAAATTGAATCTATTCCATCTGATTTTAATAAGCAAACCCGATCTAATTCAAATTAGTAGGTTGCTTTGGATTGCATTAGACTTTAAATTATATCCGAATTATTTTTACCCCTAATCCTTATCACTGGAGCACTTACATTAGTCGCTCTCGTTGCTCAATTCGTGACCTCGAACAATATAACTCTATAATATATCCCAAATTATTTTCACATTTTCCTTTTTCATTTGTCCCAAGATAGTTTTTATACCTCCTTATTTAAAAAAATTATTCTACTATTATCTCAATACATCTCTCTTTCCACTATATATCAAGAAGTCAGGGACCACATTCTTTCACATATAATAATATATAGCCTCAAATTCTCATTATCTTCTAGTACATTTTCAACATAATAAAACCCTAATTTTTTTTATTTTTTTATTTTTTATGTTTGATGAAAACTTACTATCCCCGGATAATTTAGCATTTGATAATTTAACAATAACTTATTATCTAAAACCATGTGAAATGATAAGTCAAAAACTAATCTAAGACGAAAGGAAAAATAAATAAATTGAAGAAATGTTAAAAATTGGAGTTAAAGAAAAGTAGTTGGGACTTAGAACTTGTTATTTCAACTAAAACAAAATGTTATAGTCTAATTTTTATAAGGTACTCCCTCCGCTTCTATTCGTTAGTCTCATTTAGAATCGCCTAAATTTCTCTCTATATAAAAACAAACATTAGTCATATGAGATCTAGTTTTATTCGTTTCGATAAGTACTTTATTTATATCTAATTTTTATAATTTTTGCTAGTGTGAGATTAAAGATATTTACAATTAAAAAATTGCATTGATATACGTAAGGAAAAATTGGTTTTAATAATCCTAACTTTGACCAATTTTCTTTAAATGATCCCAACTTTTGATTGTTCTTGAATAATCCCAACTTATATAGGTATCTTCTTATAATAATCCGAACTTTTATTTTTATTACACGTAATAATTCCAAAACGGATCAACAAAAGCAACAAAAATAACACTTCGGATTATTATATGAAGATACCTATATAAGTTGGCAGTGGCGGTTCCAGAAATTTGTCTTTATGGGTTCGAAATATAAACACATATAATGAAATCAAATAGTATACTCTAAAATACAAATTAAAGGTGTGCACATGTTGAAAAAAAAATTACTAACTTAAGAAACAAATTACAATTGAACTCAATGATTAAAATATCAAAGATACTCTAAACCCTTCATCTCTGAACAATATACCAATACCAAAATATGTACTACGAAAATATTACTCCGTAATATTTAGTGATCCTTACATTCACAATATTAGAAATTCTCAAATCATATAATCGTACATCCAATGTCAAACTAATAATCATATAATCATATAATCAAACTAATTAACCATATAATCATATAATCAAACTAATTATGACTTAATTAAAATAGTAAATCCAATGTCAACATATTCATAATTAACCATTTTACAATTTCAATCAACACTAATTCTACAATAAAATATTAAAACCCGAACTTTAAATTGACAACATATGGGGTATAAATTATCATTTCACCCTAATTCCGATTAATTTGGCTGGTAGACAATTAGTTGATTGCAAAACACAAACAAGATGGAGTCTAGGAGATAGATGGAGAAGCAGTGATTTTCATAGAGAGATATAAGGGCCTGAATTATCTTATGTAATGGCTCGGTAAAAGCCCAAAAAAGTAAGAAAGAGAGTAAAAAAGGTAAGCTGGGCGTCTCGAACCTGCGACTTTTGATAAAACTCTATGTGGCTACAGACCAAAATACATAACACATGTACGCTATATAAAAATGACCGGTTTTTTTCTCGATCTAGTATGGGTTCGGCTGAACCGACTGAACACATACTGAAACACCACTATAAGTTAGGATTATTTCAAAATAATCAAAAGTTGATATTATTTAAAGAAAATCGATCAAAGTTGGTATTATTAAAACTAATTTTTCTTATACGTAAATGGGACTAACATTAGAAAACGGAATGAATATGATCTAATGATTTTGATCTAGAATGAGTTGATTTGATGTATTGGTTTAACTAAACTTTTACCTTAATCTTTCATCAATATATAAATACATAATCAAGTGAGATCTTGTTAAATTCGTCTTCACAATTACAAAGATTTAAACAAATTTAAATGCGACGTCTATAATCTAATTTGATCCAAATATTTAGGAAAAATTGTCATGATTAATCCCAACATTGCTCCGTCCGCTAATATTAATCCCAATTTCCGTTTATTTTTTATTGATCTCAACTTTATACCATATCCGCCAAAAACACTCCCAAGTGACTTGCAACCGGCTGAGCAAGTTAACATTTGTGAGTTGGATATTTTTTGCACACGTGTCAACACATGATTGCTCAATTATTAAAAAAAAATTAAACATAATTTAAAAAAAAATAAAATGGCAGCCACCGTAAAAAGCAGTCGGAACGGGGATAGGATGGGAGTGGGTGGTCGGATTCGAGGAGAGAGAAAGGAGCAGTGACCGGATTTGGGAAGAGAGTAAGAGTGGTGGCCGGATTTGAGGAGAGAGAAAGAGTGGTGGCTAGGAGTGAGTGGCCAGAATCGGGGAAGGGAAGGGAGGGAGTGGCCGGATTTGAGCTGTGGTCGTCGGAATCAAGGGAGGGGAAGGTTTTGGTTGCCGGAATCGAGGGAGGGGAAGGTTTTGGTAGCCGAAATCAGGGGAGGGGAAGGTTGTGGTGGCTGAATCCGGTGGGAAAGAGGGCGGAAACGGAGGGGTTGGTTGGAGTTGGTCAGGCTGCCGCTTACCAACGGTGGCAGGGGCTGCCGCTTGCCAGAGGTGGTAGGGGGCCACTTGTTGGGTTTGGATTTAATTTTTTTTGGACCAATCATGTACTGACACG